GCAAAACTCAGATCACCTCTTATTCATGCTGGACTTGAAATTTCACCACCCTTTCTTTTGTTGGCAATATTTGTGTGTATTTAGGCAATGTTTTTTCTAGCTGGCAGAGGGATGGGCAGAAGGAAAGGTGGAGAAACATAATCTGAAATTAAATGGAAATTCTGTTCCCAGTCTCGCTGCTTGTTCCTCTGCATCTTTGGGCAACTCAGATTTCTTTTTTGTTTTGATCTTCTCTCTCTAAAATGACAGAAACCTCCATCCTAGATGGTTCTGTTGGAGAAAGTGGTTCTTTAATGTATCCTGTGTGTTATTCGATAAGGAAAAGGATGTAGGTTTTGCGTGTGGTTTTACGGTATACCTTTTGCTAATATTTATGCTACTCCGTTCAATACTTTGTCTAAATAAGAATGAAATATTCCATATATACAGAGTGCTTGGCCCAGTTCTGAGAGACAGCTCGGTTTTTACCGGGTGTGTGATGTGGTGACTTCTGACGAGGAGCAGAAACGGGCTTGGGGAGGGAAAGGAGCTCTTTGACAAAGCAGTTGTCTGCTGGCCTTCAGCCAGGACAGTGGGTTGAACACCCCTGCTCTTGTTGAAAGTACCACAGGCTCTTTGATAACAAGTGCTTGGGGATTTGTTGTTTTAATGTTCCGTCCAAAAAAGACATCTCCAACAACACAGGATCCCAAAACACCTGCTGGGGTATTGGACATGCATGGAAGAGTTCCATCAACAGCATTTCCTTCAGTTCCTTGGTTTTTCTTGGAAGTATCTCAACCAGAGTACATCGACCATGCTTGACCTCACTTAGCTGCAAGATGTAACAAAGCTCACAGCTCAGCTATTCTGGCTAGAGGGACTTTCATTCTTTGTGAATTAATTTAGTCTTCTTTCTCGAGTTCTTGGACAGCATTTAAAGAGAGTTCCCTGTACCCACCGCTCTGCGGTTTCCTCAAGTACAGCAACTTTTCCTTTCTTCCCCTGCCTGGGCTTGTGAATTGGCCAGCTTCTGGGCGCATCTCTCCGGGAGCAGTGGCCACAGGTTGAGACTTGCCCAACTCACGCAGTAAAGAGGGGAATTAGTCTAATGCACTGCCTTAACAAAAGAGAGAGTAGGGGCATGAATAATTAATACCACTAGTCTGTGGCAATCGGATAAAATGAAGTCCCATTTGCTCAGCCTTATTAAAAGAGAGAGAGAGAGAGGGAGGGATGGTAAAGGTCGTTAAGGGACTTGTAACATGGAAAGAATCGCCTCTGAGATGGATAATGTGTTTTCTAATCTCTGTGGTCTTTAACTAAACATAATGGTAAAGGTACTCTGGCTATTTCTGGCTTGTTGAATTATTAAGTATTCTGGGAGATTGCTTGGCTCTTACCCAATAACTTAGACTTTTTCATTTGAACCATGTTAATAGGTAACACTTTTTATTTTGCGCGTTGGGTCCTGGTACATCTGCACCGAGTATTTAATGCTTTTCCTCCCTTGTGTCCCCCGGTCCCACGGGGGGAAGGGATGCTCGTTAGTGTGTTATCCCAGGGGACTTCATTTCACACCCAAATGCTCTTGGTTCACTTACCTTCAGTTCGGTACCTATTAGGTCACTGGTCCTGGGTGTCCATTATAGGATTATAAATATCTTTAAAAGGGTAATCCCTTTGCAGTGTGCATTATAGGATTATAAACCTCCTAAAGATCTTATGCTTTATCTGCCCTTTAACATCCAGGCCCTTATTTCAAGTCCCTATTGACCAGGTATTTTCATTCTTTCTCCTTGGCCTTTGTAAAGAAAATCCTTGTTGCCTTGGGATATTATAGGAGAGCTCATCAGAAGCGTTCTAGCAACTTCAAAGTTGTCATCAGTATGCTTTTAAAACCCCTGTCATCAAGAAATTATTATTCAGACTTAAAAAAAGCATTCTGAGTTCTTTATGTTGCTTTACCTATCGCTTTGTCAGGATAAGGTTTTGAAATTCATTTGCAGACCATAAAATTGCTCAAGACAGAAGTTGAATTTAAAGATAGGTAAAACCTGAAATCTTTATTCCAGTGATAGAGCTAATTGGCTAGAAATACACATATGCATTATAATATTTCAAAAAACAACCCAACAATCTTTAAAAGAATGGAGTCTGATGCAAGAAGGGAAGAACCTGGAGGGAGTAGGAGAAGATAAGACGAAAGCTTTTCTCCTACTACTGTGGATCTGAACCTTTATTTTTTACAGATTCTCTTTCTTAGATACAAACACTTTAAATCGGTGGCCATCTACAAGTTATGTGAGGAGAAATAAATAATTTTTCGGCTGGTGCTGCCTACACAGGGGGATTGCCACAGGTCTAAAAGTGAGACTGCAAGAAGGAGAACGTGTAGTACTTGCTCCCATGTAAAACAGGGGAATCATTAAATGCTACATGGAAGCAATTTTTCATTATAGTCTTTCATGGCCATAACTGAGTTCTCAAGTATGTCTCGTATGTTTATAGGATAGATGGGAGCTATGGTCATTTAGAGAAATTAATAGTTTATGGATGTTCACTTTAAGTATTAGCCCTGGGGGACTTTTGAGAAGGCAGCGCTTGGCCCTCTCCTCTCCAGAGCTTACCCTGCAGCTGGGAAGGGCTGGTTCAGGGGCTCAACTGGGAGCTGGAACACGGCGCTGTTGACCCAATTGTTTATTGTTTGTAAGCTGAATTCAGCAGTTTATTGACTTTTGTCTTTTCTTCAGAACTTTTCCAAGGAGGAATTTGGTTGCCAGGCACAGATATTAATTTCCTTTGCACTGAAAACCGTGCAAAGGACCTTTGCCAGAATGTCGTTATCGCTGGGTTTGGTTAGTGAGCAGTTGGAAGCAGTGCTGCAAGTGAGAACAGGCTGTAAATTGGTCTTTACCTTGAAGACTAACATTTTCAGGCAGTTTGTAACAGCTTTTTTGTAGGTACGGAAGCTTAAATTAATTTTTTAGCAACTTTTATGTCCTAAGTCTCCCTACAAAGGTAGAGTCTTTCTTGCTTTACAGAGCTTGGCTAAAATTGCTTTTCTTTTTTGGCTGTTAAGGATGAAAAATTGCATGCTGAAGACTGGGGTTTGAGGCATAGAGCTTCACAGAGACGAGGCTGGGAAGGGGAGCTGGTTGGGAGGTTGTAAATATTATAAGCAACTGAGGAAGTTGGGTCTGAATGTGTTGATTCTAACAGGGAGCTGATGATACGTCTGAATAAAACCATGCCTGCTCTTTAGTTGGGAGAAATGGCAAATGGAGGAAACTTGCAGTCTTTGCCCTCCTCTCAGTACTCCTAGAGATTTGTAAAGGTTCCTTTTGTTGCCTGGAGGTGTCCATCACGAAATGATCTTCTCCTCTCTTAATTCAACCTCTCAGATGCTGACTCAAATGGCCCAGATAGGAAGGGAGAGGCCAGGCAGCATCACTGTGGTGTTTTGGCAAATGTTGGAATGATAGGTACAGGTAGTGTAATTACTTATTAAACTGCGTGTGGATATAATGAGGGAAGTAGACATTAAGGATATTGATGTGACGTTGACATAGCCGTGCTGATGTTGCCATGGAGGCCATAAGGTTTTTTTCTGATGTTTTAACAACCATTACTCTTTTCATGGTCATAAGTTTCTTTTAAATTAAAGACGCATCACCATGAAATTTAATAATGTTTATGAAGTTACAGAAAACCAGGCACCGTGCTGAGCTCCACGGGGCTTTGACCAGTATGTTTTTCTGCTTCTAAAAATACTTGCTCTCCTAAATTGAAAGGCCCAAATAGGTAAATCTCACGTGGCCCCACAGGGAAGAGAGGGAACGTGATTAAAGGAGAAGAGGGTGCAGAGACGGAAAACAGCTCATTCCTCCCTTCCAGTCTCTGGTCAAATCATCTTGGATGCTGCTTAAAATCAGGGTTGTTTTCATTCCTTTCCCATCTGAGCTGCCACCTCAGACGTAATATTTCTCTTCATCTGTTTCTGCGGCAGGATCTGTGCAGAAGCCATCAGCAGGGCTTGTCAGCGCTGAGTCAGTGCTCGGTTCTGTTCTGTGGTTTTTCCTGTATTTGAATCTTTCTTCCACAGTCCATCTGTCTAAACCTTCTAAATATTTCTTTTTCCACAGGGCTACAAAGATGATGAGGGGACTAGAACATCTCTCTGATGAGGGGAAAAAAGTGCTGAGGCACTTGGGTCTGTTTAGTCTGGAGAAGAGAAGGCTGAGGGGGGAACTGATTAACGGCTATAAATACTTAAAGGGAGGGTGTCAGAAGGATGGGGCCAGTGTTTTTTCAGTGGTGCCCAGGGACAGGACAACAGGAAATGGACACAAACTTGAAAATTAGAAGTTCCATCAGAACATGAGGAGGAACTTCTTCACTTTGAGGCAAGTTCCATCAAAACATGAGGAGGAACTTTTTCACTTTGAGGGTGGCAGAGCCCTGGCAGAGGCTGCCCAGGGAGGTGGTGGAGTCTCCTTCTCTGGAGACATTCAAACCCCACCTGGACACGTTCATGTGGGACCTGCTCTGGGTGTATCTGCTCTGGCAGGAGTTGGACTGGGTGGTCTCCAGAGGTCCCTTCCAACCCCATAGCATTCTGTGATTTCGTAAGCCTTAAAAACTTGACCTGGAAAAAATCTGTATGGCTTGCTTTGCCTGCCTGAGAGCTATAACCATACTGGTTGGCAAGAGCCTTGCATCCCTGCTTCTCGATAAATTCCATTGTCAAACTGTGTTTCCTGATTGTTCCCATACCCATACTGGTTGGCAAGAGCCTTGTATCCCTGCTTCTCGATAAATTCCATTGTCAAACTGTGTTTCCTGATTGTTGAGGCTATGTTGTTGGCCTTCTCAATAGGGACAGATCTATATCTTGGTTATGGATTAGAATATTGAGAAACAAGTCCTGCAGACTGTCTCTGAAGCTGCTTTATGCCACAGCAAAATGTAGCTGTTGTGCCCGTGCTACATTTAGCCGGTGTTTGTTCTCTTTCTGCCAGATTCTTCTTTACAATCTGGAAACAAGTCAGTGTCTGAAGAAGATGGGCAACTCCATGGGTGACTTTACGTGTGTCAACCTCCAGAACAGTCCTCCAAACATGCTTGTTACAGGCAATAAGGACAGAAGGTAGGTGCTACCAGGAGCGGTAACCCATCTCAAATGAGCTGACTTCCCGTCCTGCTGTCCTACAGCTGGACCTGCTAGAATTTGTTTCTCCTCTAATGCTTCAAATGCAGCCTGCGTGAACTTCAGGAACAAAATATTAGGTAATAGTTGGATGTGGCTGCCAGTTTGCTTTGTTTCAGGAGGCTCCATGGGAAGACTTTCTTTTTAAGCCATTTGGTGGACGCAGTTGGTGTACAGCCCAGCGAGACCACTTGGAATATCTTCCACTTCCCCACCACCACCCGCAAAATTAGTTTGGCATTTAAAAGCTCACTTTCTGATATTAAAAAAATAACCTAAGGGATGAATCATGTAGGATGAGATGGGTCCGTCTGCCAAATGATGTCAAGAGTGTATTTCGGAACACTGTGTTGTCCCTCAGGTGACAAAAAAAAGAGACTTTCATATGAACAGATTCCAGCTTCTATTTAGCTGATTAGCAGCTTTCTCTTTAACTCCTTGGCTTGGGGAGTAGGATTTTCCCTGCACAATATCTGGTGCCAGGAATGGACGCGCTGGGAACAGTCAGCGCGAAAGGATTAAAGTGCTTAAAAAGACCCTTTGAGTCCAATTTTTAGGTTTTCTTTTTTTGGCTAGTTATTTGTGGGGTCTGATCCAGTGCACCAAAGGAGATGTGGGATGGCGAGGAGCCAGTCTCTAATGGCTCCCAGTTCCTTCCCTCCTCCTTTCTGCGCTGGGCACCAGGCTGCAGGTGGTGGTCTGGTGTGGTGGTGGGTATCAGATTGTAAGGCGGATACTTCCCTTTGCCAAATCCCAGACCTCCGTCCCGCCAGTGCAGCAGCTTGCAAAAATGATTATTTTGTCAAACAGCTTTTTTTTTTGCCTTTTTTTTTTTTTTTGCCTTCTCGGTGAATAGGCAGCGCAAGCAAACCACACACTTCCTCAGCAAAGAGGAGAAAGGAAATATCTGAAGTTTGACGTGTGTAATTGAATGCTTGAGAGTTTTTCTCCTCTAAAAGCAGATATTTGATTTTCCAAAGCATCCCAGTAAAACAACCTACAATTTTGATCTCTCTTTATCAGTAGATAAAGCTGGTATCCCTTAAGTGAGATTGAAATGTGCTCCCTTCATACTAGAGTAAATGTCTGTGCCCTTTCCCCTCTGGAAAGCTTTTCAGTGTTTCAGCTCAAGCAGGGACTGAGTTCAGGGGTTGCCCATCACTAAAATAGCAAGAAATTGGGAATCAATAATTCAGCAAATAAGTTTGGCATCCAGGAGACAAGCCAAGGGGTGTCTCAGAGGTCAGTTCCTCGTGGTGCTGCCTGAAGGGTATTAAAGGGTTTTTATCAGGTTTAGGTTGATGGTTGGACTAGATGATTTTAAAGGTCCCTTCCGACCTGGAGAATTCTATGATTCCATGAATAGGTGCTGGGTGTCCTCAGGTGGGATGGGGCTTGGACCTCTGTAGCCTTTTTATGGAGCAAGTGTATGAAATAGAGACCTTGCTGTGGGAGTTCCAACTGCTGAGGGCCAGCAGGGAAAGGTATTGCTGGAATTAAATACAGCACTTTCACGTTTCTGTGAGTACATGCTATTCTTTTATTCGAAGCCGTGATTTTGAGAAGTAACACAGACCACCCCGTTGAAGTGCAGTGTTTTTGGAAAGGCCTGTAAAATCTTTTTCCGTCAAAAAAAATACTCCTGAAGCATTGCTGATGTGTTTGATTGCTGAGCTGTGCTTCATGCTGGCAGGAGATCTGATACCAGGGAGCGTGTGCTGACGCTCTGCGCAGGAGCAGCCTTTTCCTTGGTCCCCCTGAGAAGGAGTGTAGCCTTGGGAGAGCAAACGTATGGCCAGGCCAGTGTGTAACATCAGTGAAAGATGTGGATCAAAACGTGCATTCCATGCTCTCCTGAAGGCAAGTGAGCTTCTTAGATAGTCTAAAAGGAGAGTCAGAGCCTGAGAACACCTTCACCTGTGAGCTGGGATGGATCTGATGTGCTCCCACTGAGCCCAGCTGCTGAGGCAGGAGAGGGCAGGCCCTGCCAGGTCTGCATTAGAGCATCACATTAGGCTTGCAAAATGCTTTTCCTGGTTTTTTTGTTTTTTTTTTTTTAAAGCACATCTAAACAGCTCAAGTGTGCCTCTGGTTCTTCCAAGGGTGTGCCAGAATGGACACCTGCCTGAAACCTGGGTCCTTGCTAATGAAATAAGCAGGACACAATCGGATCTTTGGCTCCAACTGTGCTCACCAAACAGAAGAAGCTTTGATTGCCGTGCGGAACACGTGCAGTAGGACAGGGAGAGTGCTGGGTGTGAACACTTCCAAAATCCCCCATCCTTACCCAAAGCACAGCTCTCATATGTAGCCAAAGCCTCTCTCTGCTGGAGTTGGAGAAAGCGAGAAATCTCTTTTCGCCATCAGCAACTGTTGTGTGGGGTTTTCCTCAGGGTGACTGCGGAGCCACACAGAGCGTGCTCCTCGCTCTGTTCCAGCCTGTTTTTCTCCATGTCAGATGGATGTTGCTCTGCTGGAGTTTTGGACTCTTCTGTTGCCTTTTCTTTCAGTTGCTGAAACGTGTTATTTGTAAAATCATATGATGCAATCTCTGTTTGAGAAAGGAAAAGGAAAGACTTGCAACACCATTAGGATCGTAGCAGGGGTATGGAATAAAGTACAGTTAATGTGTTGGAACAAGTGTGTTTTGGCCTTTTCTGGAATTAATGTGTACCTGATGGTTTCATTCTTGATAGCCATCAGCTGGGAGGAACTTTCTCTGGCTTCTTTTCAAATCTGAGATAAGTATTTCCCCTTAACCTCTGTTTTCACTTGCTGCATTATTTTTTATTTGCTTATGTCCTCTGCTTTATCTCTTGATCTATAAGGATCAAAAAACATAGTTCTTTGTGATACATACTGGATTTAAAACTTAACACCATCAGCTTTAGCTGGTTTGGGGACTTGTTGCAGTGGTTGAAATCTAAGCTCTTGTTCTCTAGTTCTGCTTGGGTAAACGTAGCCTCGTCTTCAGTATGTTTCTCTTCAAAATGTCTTGTCTCAGTGATCAATAATTTCTGAAAGATCAGACCTACCTAAAAGCTGCTCACAGTCACTGGTAGCATTTTTGAAATCATTTCAGAAGAGATACTGATTTGGGTGCTTGTGGGGCTTTGTTTCGATATTGGTGAATAACTCAAGTGTATAAACCTCTGATTCCCTTGACTTGTCTCTTGCATTTCCACACGCTTAGTCCCTTCCTCAGTCTTTGTAATAATAGTTCTTTCCTTGATCCTCAGAATAACATTGCCCCTTGGCCATAGTGAATGTGTGTTAGGTCCCAAGGGGCAGGATGTGTTAGCAATATGGCCAAAACACTGGACTTCATGCCTCATGGACTTGCTGACATTTTGTGAGGCACAAGCAAAGGAGCTTTCTCCAAATTTCACTTAGTTTTACAATAACATTGCCCCTTGGCCGTAGTGGATGTGCATTAGGTCCCAAGGGGCAGGATGTGTTAGCAATATGGCCAAAACACTGGACTTCATGCCTCATGGACTTGCTGACATTTTGTGAGGCACAAGCAAAGGAGCTTTCTCCAAATTTCACTTAGTTTTATGTCACCTGGGACTTGTAAGGAGACAGAGAGAGGAAAAGTCTGCCTCAAAAATTCTTGGATAATAGAAGTCAGAGTGAAGAAGAGCGTCAACTGTGTTGGGTTTCTGGCCCGTGGTGGCTGTGGGACTGCTGTCATCCTACGAAAGCAGTGCAGGTGTCCTAAACCTATATAACCCCAAAAGTTCTTGTGCTCTCAGAACCCACAGGCTGCAGACCCACAGTTGGTTTTATCTCTCTTCTTTATTTGCTTTCGTTCAGGGTCAGGGTATTCGATCTCCGCAGAAGCGAATCTTTGTGCTCCTTCTACGCCCACCAGTTGGGAGTGTCTGCGGTACAGATGGATGACTGGAAGATTGTCAGTGGAGGAGAAGAGGGCTTGGTCTGCGTGTGGGACCAACGGATGGGCACCAAGCTCTGGGAAATGCACGCCAGGTAATGCTGTCTGCCTGGGGCCCTATTGCAGGGGAGTTTATGGGATCTGACTGACAGGAGGAAGGTGAGGATGGGATGATCCAGGGCCAAAATGATTAACATGTCCATGCCTGAAGCTTCTGAGAGTTCTGTTAGTTTTCATGCGATTTGGGAACAGATTGCCTCCCCACCTGGAGTCCTGTGCGTGTTTCTGTGTGTGCCCTTTAGCTGTTGTAGGCTTTTTTACTCATTAGTTAAAGAGAGTGCTTCAGTTGGTGTAAGGGAGCGTGGATATTGTTTCCCCTGGATTTTCTGTGAATTCAGTTAGTGTCTTCTCCCTGCCCCATCCCCAAGCAGTATTTGCTTTATTGAGCCCTTGATTTAAAATGCTGGACTCCTGGCTGCTGCCTCCAGAGCGACTGGTTCTGGCTGTCTCTCTCTGCTACATCCTTACACAATACCTGGGTTTCTCTTCCCCTCATTCACACGTTCCCTTAGCAGCAACGATCAGAGCCAGGCTGGTATTTAAACTCATTTAAATATTAAAATGCCAGTTTGTACTGAAAGCACAAGAAGTGACAGTACTGAAAGTACAAGCAGAGACCAGTATCCTGGAGTTAACAGAAGACTGTTGGCTGCTACAGCCAAATTATGATTTGCTGATCAAGGCACGATTCCAGGGAGTCAGCTTTGTCTGAACACAGACCTTACCAGGATTTAGCTCCTTGTAAGTCTGAGTGATACCCTTAATAAAATGAAAATAAATCCTGATCTTTTTTTTTTTAATACATCTTCCCTAAAGAGGAGCTAGAATGAGGTATTTACAGGCAGAGAAGTTCAAGTTGGAGTTGTCATTGATTAATAGCATTTATCTCCTTCTCTTTTGACCCTGTGAATTATAAAGCCCGTTGTGATGCAGCTGATGCATTAAGGACAATATTGCATTGATTGTCTCCTGGAGATTAATGTGTACCTGATGGTTTCATTCTTGATAGCCATCAGCTGGGAGGAACTTTCTCTGGCTTCTTTTCAAATCTGAGATAAGTATTTCCCCTTAACCTCTGTTTTCACTTGCTGCATTATTTTTTATTTGCTTATGTCTTTTGCTTTATCTCTTGATCTATAAGGATCAAAAACCATAGTTCTTTGTGATACATACTGGATTTAAAACTTAACACCATCAGCTTTAGCTGGTTTGGGGACTTGTTGCAGTGGTTGAAATCTAAGCTCTTGTTCTCTAGTTCTGCTTGGGTAAACGTAGCCTCGTCTTCAGTATGTTTCTCTTCAAAATGTCTTGTCTCAGTGATCAATAATTTCTGAAAGATCAGACCTACCTAAAAGCTGCTCACAGTCACTGGTAGCATTTTTGAAATCATTTCAGAAGAGATACTGATTTGGGTGCTTGTGGGGCTTTGTTTCGATATTGGTGAATAACCCACATGTATAAACCTCTGATTCCCTTGACTTGTCTCTTGCATTTCCACACGCTTAGTCCCTTCCTCAGTCTTTGTAATAATAGTTCTTTCCTTGATCCTCAGAATAACATTGCCCCTTGGCCATAGTGAATGTGTGTTAGGTCCCAAGGGGCAGGATGTGTTAGCAATATGCCCAAAACACTGGACTTTGTGCCTCATGGACTTGCTGACATTTGGAGAGGCACAAGCAGAGGAGCTTTCTCCAAATTTCACTTAGTTTTATGTCACCTGGGACTTGTAAGGAGACAGAGAGAGGAAAAGTCTGCCTCAAAAATTCTTGGATAATAGAAGTCAGAGTGAAGAAGAGCGTCAACTGTGTTGGGTTTCTGGCCCGTGGTGGCTGTGGGACTGCTGTCATCCTACGAAAGCAGTGCAGGTGTCCTAAACCTATATAACCCCAAAAGTTCTTGTGCTCTCAGAACCCACAGGCTGCAGACCCACAGTTGGGTTTATCTCTGTTCTTTATTTGCTTTCGTTCAGGGTCAGGGTATTCGATCTCCGCAGAAGCGAATCTTTGTGCTCCTTCTACGCCCACCAGTTGGGAGTGTCTGCGGTACAGATGGATGACTGGAAGATTGTCAGTGGAGGAGAAGAGGGCTTGGTCTGCGTGTGGGACCAACGGATGGGCACCAAGCTCTGGGAAATGCACGCCAGGTAATGCTGTCTGCCTGGGGCCCTATTGCAGGGGAGTTTATGGGATCTGACTGACAGGAGGAAGGTGAGGATGGGATGATCCAGGGCCAAAATGATTAACATGTCCATGCCTGAAGCTTCTGAGAGTTCTGTTAGTTTTCATGCCATTTGGGAACAGATTGCCTCCCCACCTGGAGTCCTGTGCGTGTTTCTGTGTGTGCCCTTTAGCTGTTGTAGGCTTTTTTACTCATTAGTTAAAGAGAGTGCTTCAGTTGGCGTAAGGGAGCGTGGATATTGTTTCCCCTGGATTTTCTGTGAATTCAGTTAGTGTCTTCTCCCTGCCCCATCCCCAAGCAGTATTTGCTTTATTGAGCCCTTGATTTAAAATGCTGGACTCCTGGCTGCTGCCTCCAGAGCGACTGGTTCTGGCTGTCTCTCTCTGCTACATCCTTACACAATACCTGGGTTTCTCTTCCCCTCATTCACACGTTCCCTTAGCAGCAACGATCAGAGCCAGGCTGGTATTTAAACTCATTTAAATATTAAAATGCCAGTTTGTACTGAAAGCACAAGAAGTGACAGTACTGAAAGTACAAGCAGAGACCAGTATCCTGGAGTTAACAGAAGACTGTTGGCTGCTACAGCCAAATTATGATTTGCTGATCAAGGCACGATTCCAGGGAGTCAGCTTTGTCTGAACACAGACCTTACCAGGATTTAGCTCCTTGTAAGTCTGAGTGATACCCTTAATAAAATGAAAATAAATCCTGATTTTTTTTTTTTTTCTTAATACATCTTCCCTAAAGAGGAGCTAGAATGAGGTATTTACAGGCAGAGAAGTTCAAGCTTTTTTTTTTTAATACATCTTCCCTAAAGAGGAGCTAGAATGAGGTATTTACAGGCAGAGAAGTTCAAGTTGGAGTTGTCATTGATTAATAGCATTTATCTCCTTCTCTTTTGACCCTGTGAATTATAAAGCCCGTTGTGATGCAGCTGATGCATTAAGGACAATATTGCATTGATTGTCTCCTGGAACAGCGCTAATGAGCATGCCAAGGAGGGCAGGCTGAGCTTTGGGGGTGCGCTAAAAGTGAAACCATTAGTTTAAACATTTAAAATACTGTTTAATCTATATAGGGAATCGGAAGGCATTGCTTCAAGCCAAAAGGCCTCTCTAGATAAGAAGGTGTGTGTGGTGTTATCCATCCCTGCAGCCCAATGGTATGGATGGAAACCACGTGCAGGATGTAAGGGAAGGGACAGGAGACATGTTAGGGTCATGGAGATGACCCATCTTAATGGGTCATCTCCATCTTTAACAATAAATGCTGTTAAAGGGGTTCAGGGTGAGTTTATTCGAGGAAAAGGAACCAGACCTCTTAGCTTGTGCTGTACAGTCCCTTTCTCATCAGCCATAGCTCAGTGCTTGGGGATGGGGCTGTGGGGTCCTGGGTGTCCCTATCCTTCACTTTGGGAACATCCTGCTCTTCCCAGGATGTGCTGCTGCGGTCCTTACAGCAGCAGAGCAAGCAGGCACCCGCATCCCCTGCAGGTTGTGTGCTGCCAAGTGTAGAAACTATTTTCTGGGCTCCACGTGTGTTCTGGTAACAGCCCACTAGATGGGGATAAAAGCTGTGTTTATTTGCTCCTGTCAGGAAAAAAACCAAAGGTGCAGGTTCCCAGCCTCTGGTCATAGAGAGGGCGCTGATTTGAAGTAATTCTTCATTAATCCAGAGCGATTCCTTTACTGCATTTGGATTTTAGGGGTCTAAGGCAGGTGGCATCTCACGCATGGCTGTGGGTTATTTTTCAGGCATCCAGTCCGCCACGTGTGGTTTAATTCTCACAGCCTCATCACTGCAAACATCCCTGATGACAAGACCCCCCGAGGCGCCAGCATCGCGGATGACGACCTGACCGCACACCGCAAGTGAGTGACCTGGGGTTCTTCACTGTGAGGGTGCCCCATCCCTGGAGATATTCAAGGAGGAAGGGCAGGAGTTTTGGCCCTGGGAAGATCTGCTTTATTTTATATTTTTTAAAGTGGCACACTAAGCACTTGAGTCATGACGCAGAGCAGTAATAGAGAGGGGATAGCATCTAAAAATATAAAAAAAGTTCCGCCTGGGAAGGACAGGAGTTTTGGCCCTAGGAAGATCTGCTTTATTTTATATTTTTTAAAGTGGCACACTAAGCACTTGAGTCATGACGCAGAGCAGTAATAGAGAGGGGATAGCATCTAAAAATATAAAAAAAGTTCAAAGAAAAGACTTTCAAAACTATGGATGAATTGGGTCTTTATTTACTTCTGAGCTCAAAAAACAAAGCATTTCTTTTTCAGCAAGGGAATATTAAAGGCCACTGAAGCCAGACAGAATTGCAGCCCTTTCCCTGCTTTAAATATTAGTTATGATATCTCCTCCTAAAGGAAAACTACTGGTATTTAAACCCAGGTTTTGGTATTTGCAGCTCGGGTGGCTGTTAGCATGTGCAATTGAGCTATCAAACTACCATGTACTTACCTTCCCCCTTCCTGACTAGATTAGAAACGTGTCGGCAGATGACAGTCACAGCTCTGCATCACCGACGTGAATGATTCACCGTTCACTTCCAGGGCTCAGTGGGATCCCTGGAAGGAGGCAGGAGGGAGTTTTCTGTGATAAAACTCTGCAGACAGCCCTAGTGCAGAAGGGATGGGGTTTTATATTCAGCTTTTGAAGCGTCAAATTTTGATCCTTTCATAGAATCATAGAATCATTGAGGTTGGAAGAGACCCTTGGGGTCATCGAGTCCAACCATCTCCCCTACTCTACAAAGTCCTCCCCTACACCATGTCCCTCAGCACTGCATCTAAACGTCCCTTAAACACAGCCAGGGATGGGGACTCCACCCCCTCCCTGGGCAGCCTGTTCCAATGCCCAACCACTCTCTCTGTGAAAAATCCTTCCTAATGTTCAATCTAAACCCACCCTGTTGGAGCTTGAAGCCGTTCCCTCTCGTTCTGTCGTTAATTACCTGTGAGAAGAGACCAGCACCAACCTCTCTACAGTGTCCTTTCAAGTAGTTGTAGAGAGTGATGAGGTCTCCCCTCAGCCTCCTCTTCCTCACACTAAACAGCCCCAGCTTCTTCAGCCGTTCTTCATATGATTTGTCTTCTAGGCCCTTCACTAGTTTTGTTGCCCTCCTCTGCACTCGCTCCAGCACCTCCAGATCTCTCTTGGATTGAGGTGCCCAAAACTGGACACAATACTCGAGGTGTGGCCTCCCCAGTGCTGAGTACAGGGGCACAATCACCTCCCTACTTCTGCTGGTCACACTATTTCTAATACAAGCCAGGATGCCGTTGGCTTTCTTGGCCACCTGGGCACACTGCCGGCTCGTATTCAGCCGCTTGTCAATTAGAACCCCCTTTATGGCAATCTCTAACTTTGTTCGATTCCCCTGTTGAAATATGAAGGTAAAAGTGATGTGTCCCTGTTGTGTTTTGTCCAGGCACCGGGGAATCATTTACGCCTACGAGTTCTCCGTGGACCAGCTGGCTGTAGAAAGTGTCCTCCCTATTTGCCGCTCTTCCTACGATGAAGTGACCGGTTACAACTACAACATTGGCCTTGCAGTTCCCTACGATGACATTTAGGTAACTCACTTTACTTGGCTTCTGTGGTTCCAGCCCTCTGCCGAGTACGTGGCCAAAAAGGGTCTCCACAAGGGCCAAGCACCAAAAAGGTCGTGTCGGCTCGAACCAGCTGAGCGTTTGCCAAAAAACTTGGGGATATGAACCAGAAGAGAGCGTACGGCTGCCCTCGAGCACATCCCAAATGTTTGAGGATCTGCTGTGGTGGAATGGGGAGACTGAAGAGTTAAGGGGAACAGTAAACTTGAGTGTAAACACAAGTGTTCCTTCCTGCTGCCTGTGGGAAAAACGCTGCTGATCCCGTCTTGGCTGAGGACATGTTTGGGAAGCGAGAGCCCCGGGTGGCAAACTGAAGTGGTGGGAGGCTGAGGAACTCATGCCTGTCCTGAGAGGGAAAGGAAAAACACCAAGGATTTGGGAAAAGCGTCTCGCTGAGCCACATGTTTGAAAATTCTTTCCTTGTAGTGAGCTGCTCATTCTTCTTTTCCTTGGGGTGCATGGGAATGTGTCTAGGAACAGGACCATGCACAAAAGGTTATGCTGGTTGGGAGAGGGGAGGAGGATGGAGAGGAGGAGGGGAAGGTTGGCCTTGGCCGGGCTGGATGCTTGGAAACTCAGCAGGCCACACGCATCAAAATTATTTTAAAATAATTTATTTTTTTAATTCTCTAAAATTCCGGATTAAATCTTTTCTAATTGTATGTGTATGTGCTTGTGGGTTCTTTTGTTCGTAAGTCTTTCAGGGTGAGCTAACCCCTGTGCACTGAGACAAAAGGCCGTGGTGTCTCAGGTCAGTTGTCAGGTCTGTTCTCTGCTGGATGGTGCCCCTCCACGGCACCTGGAGGATTTCCCTGGGACTGGGGTTTCTGACACCATCCTCACTTCCCAGCTGGGAACTGATCACTAGTTTAAAGAAGCAGGAGGGATGAACTGGCCACCATCCCTCTGCATGGGGAGTCCACACTCAATGCTGTGGAGAAGCATCAAGTTCGAAATAAACAGCGTAGAACCTCAGGTGAAAAAGAGGAGTGAGGCTTTATCTAAAATCCAGGTTGCACTGACAGAGGTAGAACCAGTTTGGCAAACAAGAGCTCCAGTCCTGCGTGGATATGTTTTACTGGTTTAAAACTATTTTGTGGTTGTGATTTGCCCTTGTAAACTTACTGGTACAAGCCAAAGCCACGTAAATCAAGTTTAAATTGAGGTTACGTTTTAACTTAACGCCTTTTTGCTGGCTTAATGGAATCCATTTAAAAGTCCAGTGCTGGGAGGGGTGGAGGAAATGTGCCCCAACTGGCAGGAGAGGGGCTGGTGGGACTGTCACTTCCACCATCAACCAGTCACCATCAACCACCACCCTGGAGAACTTTGTGCTGGGCTCCTCCTGCCTGGAGAGAGTCACGTTTCCCAACTATTCCATGGCTTTGGCTTGGGGTGATTTTCCATGGCCCCATGGCCATCTTTCTCCTGTGGGTTTGAGTTGTAACACCTTTTCGCTTGTGATGGACTGATACAAGAAGTGCAAGGGGCAAAGTCATTCTGACCAATAAATTTTATCTTTTTATAAAGGTTTGGTCTTCCTTTTTTTCTTCTTCTTTCTCTGCCCTCCTGGGAAGCCAGCTCCTTCCCTTCATTTCTGGAAGGGCAGGAAGTGTCACAGATACGTAGTTTGAACAAGAGCTCGGCTGAAACCTGTCAAGTAAATACTAGTTTCTGTAGCAGGAATGATTGTGTGGGTTGTTCCAGCCCCTCTGTCTTCTCATGTGGCTGAACACAGAGAGTTTCCACCATCATTGTTCTCTTCCCCTCCCTGCTGTGACCTGCTGCCCTGTCTGGCTTAATGCACCCTTGCCTTGTTCCGGCTTTGACTCTCCTTATCCGCCTCGTTATCTCAGGACAGCTTTGTTCTTTCTTAATCTCCCTTGGGCTAGTAGCAGATGTTTGTCTTATGGCCATGTGTGAGCCAAGCCCTTTTCTTGGAGTCCACCTCCACATTCCCTTCTCCTTCTGCACTGCCTGGGGCAAGCATTGCTCCTTGACCGTGGTAGTCACTGAGCTGCTAGAAGACCTGCAAAGAGGTCTTTGCTTTCTTATGCAGAGAAGACAACGGTGATGGTGACCGGGTTTTGGTTTGTCGGGAACCAACCATCAACCCATCCAGATACCAGAAGGCTTAGAGCACCTCCAGTGGAGAAAGATTCTCTGTCCCCACAACCACCATTTCCTTGGCTTATGGTCTGGAGGCAGCTCCTCAGGGTGCTTTGGAGGGTGGTCCTTTTGCTCTGTGTTTCCTGTCGCTGGAATTGATTTGGGAAGGTTGTACCACAGCAGAGGACTGTGTACATATTTAACTGGCATTCAGAATGCAAATGAGGGCACTTAGGCTGCTGGAGAGTATCCATGTTGGGAGTTTAATTTTTGTTTCTGAAAAGGGATGTTGTCCTACTTCAGTGGGTAGTCATTAATGCCGCGCTGAAGTGGGTGCTGGAGTGTAGCAAATGCAGTCGTGACTGTTCACATCTTCACCAGGGTTAGCGGACGTTTAAATGGAGCCTCCTCCCTAATAACTTCAAGGGCAAGAATGGAGTCACCATCCAGTCTGTCTCCAGATAGATGCTGCCTTTGGATTTCCCATCTGGGCCCTCCGCAGGACTTGTTAGTGCTACCACTTGGTGGTAGGTAGGGATGAAGGTGGACTCTTGTCTCACAGACCCCTCTTGTATCCCACAGGCAAAGGTAAGAACTCAGGAAAAGGGACCTGGATCAAGGCAACGCTGGTGTCAGCAGAGGCTGGGGATGAAGGAATGGAGAGCAGCCCTGAGGAGAACTTAGGGGTGCTGGGGGGTGCAAAGCTGGACATGAACTGGAAATGTGCACAGGAGCCCAGAAACCCCCCACATCCTGGGCTGCATCCCCAGCAGCGTGGCCAGCAGGGCCAGGGGGAATTCTGCCCAATCCCCAGCTCAAGGGATAATAGTTACCCTCTTATTGATACTCTTCAGCCCTCTTCCTTTACAGGGGCATGTAATGACAGGTTATGGGGTAATGGCTTCAAACTGAAAGAGGGGAGATGGAGCTGAGATGTGGGGAAGAAGTTCTTTGTTGTGAGGGTGGTGAGAGCCTGGCCCAGGTTGCCCCGAGAAGCTGTGGCTGCCCCATCCCTGGAGGGGTTCAAGGGCAGGTTGGAGGGGGCTTGGAGCAACCTGGTGTGGTGGGAGGTGTCCCTGCCCAAGGCAGGGGGTGGCACTGGGCTTTAAGGTCCCTTCCCACCCAAACCATTCCATGATTCTCTGAACACAGCAAAGGATGAAGAAGTCTGGGGTGAAGAGCCTCAAGAATGACTTCTGGTTGATGGCAGCAATCCTTAGCAAAAAGAGGTGTCTGTTGTCTTTGTGGGAAGGATCCCTGGATATAAATTTCTTCCCTACTCTTCTCCAAAGAGAATTTATGATCAAAGTGTGGGGGGGTTGTCTCTGTATCGCAGCATCAGAGGATGAAAAAGTCTGGGGTGAATCAAGAATCTTCTGGTTGATGGCAGCAATCCTTAGCAAAAAGAGGTGTCTGTTGTCTTTGTGGGAAGGATCCCTGGATATAAATTTCTTCCCTACTCTTCTCCAAAGAGAATTTATGATCAAAGTGTGGGGGGGTTGTCTCTGTATCGCAGCCTCCAGCTCAGCTCCGGAGCTCTGACTTCAATGAGAAGCGATGGGTGGTGCAGAGCAAAGCAGTCTTGGTAGGACACGCTCAGCTGTAGTTCCACACTGGAAAAACCCCAACTCTCCCTCTACGTGTTTTGGTTCCAAGCCACCAGCAAAGCCCCCAGGAAAGGGCCTTTTGCCTCTGTCTTGTGTCCTTGCCCACCCTGGCAGTGGGGGAAGAGTCATTCCAGCGTTTTGGGGTCATCTGTCCCTCTCTTGATGCTGAGGAGCGGTGGGAGGTGGAACAGCAGGTGCTTTATGTTCAGAGAGGGTCTGGGGGGGTCTCTGGCTCCTCTCCCCTTCCCTGTAGCTGGGCTCCCCAGAGCAGCACCTTTCCCTCCTGCCCTTTGCTCTTTCCTGCTCTCAGCCTCTGCTGTCGTGCCCCGTTGCAGAGGGGAAGGTTCCTCTGTCATTCCCCATCCTGCTTCATGTCACAAAGGGGTGACCATGTGGTATTGAGGAGCCCCAGTGCTGCAAAAAATACTTCTTTATGCCCTCGCTGCCCCATCTTTTCTTTTAGTGATGTTTCACTGCTCGTTTCCCCTTTCTGTGAATGGTCCTAAAACCTTCAGCTACATCCCTGAGGGACAAGATGCCATCTGGAGGGACCTGGGCAAGCTTGAGATGTGGGCCAGTGTGAACATCATAAGGGTCAACAAGTGCAGGGGCTTGTTCCCAGGGCGGGGCAACCTCTG